ATGTTTGATAATAATTTCTGTAAGCATTATTTTTATGTTATAAATATTACTTACTATACTAGTATATATAACACTAGTGTTCTACTTTAGTAATCAACACTAACACACACGCAGACTTCTATAAGTACGCTCTCTTCTCTTTGCTCATAAATGTATTTTAAATGTTACTTTTTTTTAATATTTCTTTTACATTTTCATTTACGAAATAACACCTATAGTTTTTAAATTGTATTCTGTTAAATATGTATATAATTTTGCCTTTCTGCATATGCATGCCCAATGTTGGCCAAATCTGAGAAAACCCACCCAATTGCACATGAAGTTGCATTTCAATTCTTTAATAATGTCACTCCAAATACGAGGACTATCCATTCTTGTCCACAGTTGAATTTTCAAAGCATTTCCTTATAAATTTCTACTACTACTCTTGTGGCTAATAAATAATTCATTTGTGCTGTTTACTCATCATTATTAAGTTACTTTTCTTTGTGATAATCTATATGTATGTATATATATGTAGTATATTTAAAAATATGTAATTAAAATAATGACGCATATTTTGTTGAAAAGCTTCCATTCTTCGTAATGAAGAGCCACTTTAGGCAGACGAATTATAGTATATTACGGATTAAATTACTAACTTGGCTGAACTCGGAGTTTAAACAACTTCAAGTGCTTTTGAGCCAACTTGTGGGCCCGTACTGTTCGTTTTCAAGACTTTGTAACAAAACTGGGGAGGCTAAGAAAGTGTTTTGGCACAAAATGATCCACATAAGTGTTAATAAAATATACGAAGGAGTAGGCATTTACTTACTTGTGGAGATGGTTTATGGTAGAAATGAATATTGGAATATTTGAAAATGTAACTTACTGTGTGTTTGTGTAGCGTCTATATAAGTACAAAAATCTTAAATTTGTGAGGTGTGTTGACTTTGTGTGTTCGAATGTTCCCAAAAGGAAACAGCTTAGAAAGGCGACCATTCAGATACGTTTTAAATGGCCTGCCACTTGTGCCCACTTTCCAAGTACAATCGCAAAACAGTTACCGAAGCTATAGAAAGAAATGTAATATTGCTAAACCAACAAGAGTCTGTATCGGCTGTGGAGTAAGTTGTGTTGTAGAGTTAGGAAATCAGAAATGCATGTTTGGTTTTGTATTCAGTGTATGTATATTAAGTTGTGTGTATTTGTTTTCTTTTTTCATGTACGGTTTTTGTTTCTTTTATTTTTTATTATTATTATATAATATTAATGTATATATATATATATAATTTAATATATAAGTATTAATAAGAATCGAACAGTAAATTAAAAACGAATTACGCTAGAAAGGGAACGCCAAACGCGTGCGCACACTCTTCGGAAAAATGAAATGTGATTAAAAGATATAGGCAAGCAAAAACTATGTACAGCTAATATAGTATATTGATAGACGGAAATTAAAATTATTTATGTTTCATTTTATTTAACACAATAACAGAAAATTGTGCAAATGACACCGCATTGCATCCATTTGCAACGAATTTGTGTTTTTTGTTTCATTTTTTAGTTTTTGGTTTTGTTTTTTTTTTTGCAGTTTTTCCTTGTCATATACAAATACAAATAAATACAAGTTTTCGGGAGTTTCTTGAATTCGTTTAATGAGTGCTATGTCTATATATGTATGTATATATAGTATATATAGATACCCATATATTTTTGTTGTGTATGTATGTGGCTATTTCAGTGTATGTATGTATGTCCTATTTTTACTAGTGTAGGTTTTTTTTAACATTTAACAATTACAATTACTATGCGCTTTCAATGTTTTATTTTTGAAGCAAACCTTGTCGCTCTGCTAGTTTCTTTTCAATGTTTATTTTTTTATATTTTTTTTTTTACTTTTTTGGTATTAATTTTAGATCAAATTATTCAATTATTTGTTATTATTTGGTTTAACTTTGGCGTAAATTATTTTTGAATATGTCGCGAATGTTTCGAATGTTTGAAAATTAAGTAAACATAGTGGGTTTGTTATCTGTTAAGTATAATATAGGTATATACACATTTTTTACACGCACACACACAATAATGTGCGGTCAGCCTTAGAACTGAATCGCAAATAAAATTAAACGATCTTCGTCAAGTTAAAACTAGGCTATAGATCTATATACTCGTATAATAAATAAAATGTGTGAGAAAGTGAAGGAAAATCAAAACTGAATTCATATTGCTATAATAAGTTTCTCCAATCCAAAGTGCTATTTACTTAGAGGTTATTTACATGACTGCACATTGAACTAGTGGTAGTGGTTAGACCCTCCTCTTGACTCTGCTATAAAAAGTGTTGCGGCTTAAAAAGTTTGTCAGTTTACATTTTTTCTTGCATTTGTCTTATGCTTTGTTGGTTTGGTTATAGAAAAATAGGCCAAAAATAGATGTATATGTATATTTTTGCTTGGCTTCGCTTCGTTTCCCCCCGCTTCGTTTACCTCAATTACTCGTACCATCCAAAATTGTCATTAAAATTTTGTCGTGTCTGTCACCTTCATTGTATTGATTTGTTTGACCGGGCTTTAGTGCGCATTAATTTTAGTTTGGTTTGCTTTGGTTTTTGTTTTTTGTTTTGTATTGTATTTTGGTTTTTGTGCATTACGTTTGTCGGGCTTATAAGTATTGTTTATCGACTTGTAACACACATGTAATGTCTCTAAAATACCAGCATTCGGTTGTTTTTACACCGGTATAGAATTTTAAGATTTAAAGGTGGGTTATTTTGCAGTTATTTATATGAAATGAATCAAATTTCTTAATTAATTTCTTGCATATCAAATAAAATCCATTTCCATTTTTGAGTAGTAAACTTGCTGTGTAACGAAGATCGCTGTTGTTGTTATTGTTGTCGGCACACAATGCTTTCATTATATACTATATTCACTTTTAATTTCAATATCATTTTCATTTGAGCTATGTGCCAGCAACAAGTAAACAAAAGTGTTCAAATATGAGCCTAATAATTATTTGTAATTTAAATATATAATATTTTACTGTGTACAAGATATGAAATTTTATTGCTCGCAATTTCATATGTTATTTCATTAGCCATTTATTTTATAATAGATATATTTATATATATTATTTATTTAGTTGTATTTTTTTCTCAAGATTCTTGAAAAATGTAACAAAAAGACAGGCGTTCAAATATCGAATAAAAAAGACCTTCAATTTAGTGGATTTTGGAATTATTTTGTTATCATGCTGCATACACAACCGTTTAAACATTATTATCGTTTTTAAATTGTTCTTGTCGTTAAAAAAAGGGATTTGATTGTTTTGTTTAATTGATTGTTTGTTGGAACTTTGCATAATAACAACAATAATACGCATAGGTATGTATTTTACGAATATTACTTCACTCTTTCTCTTTTAAAATACAGTAGTTGTCAATTAATTTAGTGCGTTTTCATTTGTTTACGGTTGCTTTTGCTTGTAAATAAAAAAATGTAAAATTTATAAATCTGAGAGAAACAGTGCGCATTGCTTAGGACAAAGTCAGTCAACTAAATTAAAAGATAAATAAATAATGTGTCGTTTTAGTGTTTTGCGCATTTTTACAAGCTTTTAACTAAAGTTTATTTTGTATACTCGTACTCTTTTTTGTTTGTTTTCGCTTCGCATATAATATTATTATTATATATAAGTCCATTTTCGTTAATATATTTTAAATAAATTTACTTAACTACAAATAGCTGCCATTTCCATGAGAACTGTTTCGTGTGTTCAAATATTCAAAAAAAAAAAAAAAAAAAAAAAAACTGTTGTGTTACAAAATTCATAATCGAACTTTGTGATGAAATCATGGCAAAAGAAATAATGAATGAATGCATAAATATGATTAAAAATATGCATGCTCGTATGCAAATGATAGAGAAGTAAGTATGAATATTTTATGTACATTCGAAATGTATGTGGCGAAACTTTATTCAGTATAAGACAAAGTGAGAACATGAGAATATGTACAAAGCATATATCTCAACTATTAATTGATAAAAGTATAATCAAGTCAAGTCTTTTTGTTATGTTAATGTTATGCCATCTTTGTTTTTTGTTTTGTTTTGTAAATGTACCGCCATGTCTTGGTTGTTTTGTTTTATACCATTAAATATATAGCATTCGTACATTCGTAGCACATCTTCAATTAAATTCAATTCAGTTATGAATTTGATTTCTCATTTTCAGCATTATCATTAGCAAATATCATCATTATCATTATCTCATCATCGTCATCATTTATTGCAATAAAACCTATGTCAATTTTTAATTGTATATTTATTTGTTATATGTATATATGTTCTATATATAATTAATTTCTCTTTCTTATTTTGTTTTTGCTTTGTGTATATGTATATATAATTCATTCTTGCCTGCTTTAATGCTTTCATTTCTTTTTTTTAGCGTTTTTGATTTATTTTACTGTTTTTTTATCGCTTCTTTAATATGAAACTTTAATACACATATAATTAAATAATGTACACGAAATATATATATGTATATATATTTATATACTATACATTCTTGTAATGTATACATACGTAAAACAGTATAGGCCCGATTTATGCGCGAATTAAGAAACAAAAAGAAAATCAACTCGCAAATCTGGCGCTTGTACTCAACATTTTGAGTTTATGGCGCCATTCAATGAACCATCAAACATGTAGCTGAACTTTCTCTTTTTAGTTTAATTAATAATTTTAATAATAATAATAATAGTCAATGTTATTTTAAGTGTAGTAATTTTAATCATACCTTTTTTCCTATTTGCTGCCCCCTTCATTAATCTTTGCATTTATTTTAGTGGCACACTGCTTGCAACTTTTTTTTTACATGCCACAACTTTTTCTTGTGGCTGTTTCTCATACATTGTTTTTGTTTTGTGTTTATTTTTGTTTTCGATTTTGTTTGTTAGATTGCAGGCAGGCGGGTTGTTTGGTTTGTGTGTGTGTGTGTTTGTGTATGTATGAGTGTGTTTATGTCTGTGTCTTTTTATGTGTGTGTGTGTATGCTTATGTAGCCATGTTCTGTTGTTGCCTTGCCATGTTTAAACTTAATAGGTTTTTGCCCGTTTGTGTTCATTGGTTTTGTTCTCAGTTTTTAGTATATATGTAGGTGTAGCATAAAACTAATTGTAAGTTATGTTTAACGTGGGTTTTCTAGGTGTGTTTGTATCGCGTGTATGTTTGTCTGTCTTTCTTTTTCTGTTCGTTTATGTGTGATCTGTTTGTGTGTACACTTAGCGCCCCCGCGCCCAGCGCAGTAACGCATCTGCTAACACATCCAAATGAGCTTTCGTCTGCAATTAAAAAAAGAGCAAAAGCAGATATTAATACACATTAAGCCATTATTATGCACTTGAATGATGTGTGTGGGACTAGTACAAATACTTGTCGATGTATTTGTATAACAACACTTACCGTTTTGTAGAACATGCACGATCTCCTATCTTCGTCCTCGCCCTCCGGACAATCGATAAATCCATCGCATAGCACATGATCGTCTATGCAGCGATAGCGCCCCTGCAAGTCCGGTGTGGGGCATGCAAAGCGCTCCATGCCGTCCATAGCGGTGGGACACTCTGTAAAATAGTAGAAGGAGCCAAAGAAAACTTTGTCAGTCAAACATTCCCCTGTTTTTCTCTTCGTTTTATTTTATTTTCTATTTTTTTGTTTGCATAATGGCAGCCAGGTAAAAAAGTTTAGCTGCCACAGCGCATAAATCGTTCAACTATTCCCGTACCAGCAAAACTTGGGCTAATGTCTGCCATGATTTGCGTCTAAATGTTACAGTGGCGCATAAAAGCATGCTACACTAACGCACACACACACACAACCGCTGCACTGCCATTTGTTTGTATTTTTGCATGGCTGGCGGCATTCCTGACGCTGACGCTGACGTGGACGCCGACGCTGACGCTGACGCAGCCTCGACGCTGAGCTTAGCACCGTCTGCTGTTATAAATAGTTTCACGTTTGCTAGTTTACTACTTTTAGTGCCTTGGCTTGGCTGTTTTTAGTTTTGAGTTTCACAATCGCCGCCGCTGCCGCCAACACCAACACCAACAACAACAACAACAGCAAGAGCTACAACAACACTAACATTAGCAATATCGACAACAACAAAAACTTTATTTTTTGTGGCATTTCACTTTGCACTCCACGCTTTTTCTCTCCTCGCAAATACATAAAAATAAATCACTTGTAGGACATGTTGGCGCCTCCGGTTTAGTTTCAGCTTGCCTGCCATTTTCCCGTATCCATGTGCATGTGTGTGCACTCACTGTTGTCGTTGTTGTTGTTGTTGTTGTTGTTATTATTGCTTGCCAGTGCCTGCCTGACAGTGGATGTTAGTGCATTGAAGTTGTTCAGATTTTTCTTCTCTTTTTTTTTGTAGTTTTCAATGCATTTCGCTCATTTTATTCGAGTTTTCTTCTTTCTTTTTTTATTGGAGTGCCAATCGAAAAACGAAGTATAAATATATTCTTTGCCTACTAGTATATTAAGGTGTACAAGTATGTATCAAATTTCGCTCGTGAAGGGCTTAAAATCAAATAATAATTATAAAAATATTGTGTTTGGGGCGAATGTAAAATTAAATATGGCCTAAGATTGACTCTCAATCAATATTCAGCAGCGAAGGCTCTATCCATTCCTATGAACACCGAAAACTTTTAAGCCATAACAGCAAGGGCCACCAATCTTGATATGTAGTCTCGTCTTAGCCAGACCCAGTTTCTTACAAACTATATATACTTGTAGTCTGATTACTTTATATAGCTGCCATAGAGCTAGTCTGAGAGGAAATCACTTTTAGTTGGCGACCTTTTGTGTTTACGATAATATGTTTAAAGAAATTGTTCTCATCATATTTTCTGCATTAAATCATATAGTTCGAGGAGTTACAATCGTTAAGAACAGTTTTCGACTCATTATAGGAAGCATTGGTAGAACAGAGTATATTTTCTTAATTTTGAGTCGGCAGAGACGTTCCATCTTGAACATCTTCTAAGACCTTAATGAATGACACCCAATATTTTCACTTCAGAATCTGTCAGAACCACCACTTCGGAAAACAATAATTGTATGCAGCAGCAGCTTAGTTAATACGAGATAAATAGTAGAAGGCAAGAGTTTTGCAGAATATCAGAATCAGTTAAAAACTGAACTGCTTCAACTGCTTCCCTTCAAGTTTTTTAACTGACGCATTAGGATCAGGGGTCAGTTTTTAAATAACTAATTTTAAATGTAAGTTTAAACTGCTATAAATTTAATTATTAGAAATCAACAAGTGGTTTCTGTGTGTTTTTAACACAGTCGCACAGTCTTTTTTTGCTTCCCGCAAACAACTGTAAATTATGATATTTAATTAATTATTGAATCGCTTCCCTGCGTTACAGAAACTCTTCATCACAACAAGTATGTCATGTACGCTGCACACCCTTCTCAGCCAGCCTTTCAGCCCAGTCTAGAGGGACTGGCCTTCAACACATGACATTCGCCTGACCCTTATAGTACTTAGCTAATGTTGGCAGCGTTGCTATTTCTGCTGAGCCCTCAATCTTAAGTACTCGCATTTAATGAGTGTTAAAGCGAACAACAATAGTGAGCAGCAATAGTAAAGAAATGAATAAAATGCATAAGCAATATGACACCCAATTGTATTGGTTACCCACTCCATCGACCATAACTTCCACTTCCACCTCAATTCGAGGCATGCCTTGGCTCGTCTTTGTTTTCTGCAAATGGAGTTGTATGTATGTATTTATGTATCTGCATTATGTCAGCACGAAATCAATTGATGTGCACCCCACGGCACTTCAGGTGCCAGAAAGGTGCCGCCTGGCAACGCTTCGTTAGACACAATATACAGCAGCTCCAATAGGAGCAGGACTCTGCCTCTGGGCCGTGGCGTGCCAAAGAGCTATTTGCATTTGAAGAGTAATGGTGGCGGTGGCGGTGGCGGCGACGGCGACGGCGACGATGACGATGACAGCTATGATGGCAATGTCGCCGCCAACGATTGCCATTTATCAATGCGAGAGCCATGGCTGCATAATTGCCCGAACGCGTACTTGGGCACGTTTGATGCGCGAATTTGCATATTGCTCGCTAGCAATTGACTCTGGCAATTGTCTGTTGCATTTATGCTGATTTAACATTGCATACTTATGAGCGCGGTGCGCTGTGGCTTTGGCTGTGGGTGCTTTGATTGAAGTGCCACACACCCCCGGCCTCCCGTTGCATTTATGCATGAGCTTAACATAACGCATACGCACAGTTGACCCAACAATTTTGCTGTAAATGATGGCACCCATTAGTTTTATTGAAAGCCATTACAACTTTTTTTTTGCTCTTTTCGCTTTTTTCTAGAACGTGGGAGTGTGTGGAAGTGGAACAAAACAACAAAATTGCAACGGCAACTAGAAACTGGTAAAGCAACTACAACTACTGCAGCTATTATTATGACTATTATGCATTTTTGCAACGCTGCTCTTTGTATTTGCTATTTGCTCATGTCGTGCCATTTTGCATGGCTCTGTCATGCCAACCCACATTTTGTACTTTGAACTTAATTTTACACACAAATAATTTGTAGTTTGCCAGCCAGGCACAGCGTGGGAAGGAGACAGACACACAGAGGGAGAAAGAGAGAGAGAGAGCGAGAGAGATGAAGTTAGCCAAACAACTTGGAACTTACTGCTGGTAGTTTGTAATGTTGAAGTTTAAGAAATTTGTTCGCTCGTTGCCGGTTTTATAATTTGTTTTTGTTTCTATTTTGGGGCCAACCAAAGGGGCTATTGAACTTTCAATTGATTTTTACTGACGGTGCAGTGGGTGCTGAATATTTTATTGCACATATAGGTGCGAAATGTCGTTATGTACATATGCAACCTATATTACAGATAATGGAATATTAACTGAAGCATTGTTCTTTTGTTTTTAAATTCAAACAAATCATTCGACAACAACACTTTGAATAAACTTATCATGTATATCATGGGTGTTCGGGATATATGGACCTAATAAGGTGTGCAGAATATAATAAGATAATTCCAAATTACATCTTCTTTTCAAAGAAACACTCTTGAATAATTGTAATTTACTTGAATGACACAAGAGATCGTATTCACAAATAATTTTAGCTTAAGATAAAGATATCAAAGATACTTGTATATCAATCCACGTTCTCACAGTTAAGGGCAATGCATAGTAATTAATTACTTCAATCATGGCAATAAAAGCCTAAATGCTAAAAATTCTGGGGGCCAATCGTACATTTTGTTTTGTTCAACTAAGTATGATATTATAAAAATAAAACCCATAAAATAAAGCTTATGCTAAATATACAAACACTTGTGCTGCATTTTGTATTCTTGGGTGTTACTCGATTTTTTGTTACACATGCTAGAAACAAGCACCCTTTTATCCTTAGAGAGCTCAGCATTAAAGCCAACAAAATCGCATTGCGTGCACATGATTCCATGGCAGAGAATGCAAAATACACTACATAGAATAAATCAACTTACACGCATCAAGCACAACTGTACCAAAGTTATTTTTTGCTATTTGATGTTGTTGTTGCTGAAAACCACGACATAAGCTCGAAAAACTCAACGCATGTTGACACTAAGACACTCAGCCAGCAACTATAGCTACAACAATAAGTAAACAGAGGCACTGGCCACAGCAATAGCAACAACAACAGCACGTTGAGTGTCAAAAAATCAAAAGCATAAAAAGGATTTGGCTGTTGCCAAGCAAAGTTGCGGCGCTAAGAGTGTATGTTAGAGTGTGTGTGTGTGTGTGTGGGTTGGGTTGGGTGGAGGTGCTGGTGCTGGAGGTGGTTGTGGAGGTGCTGGTGGTGATGGTAAGTTCAGCAGTTTCATCGGCAGCCAAAGAGCAACGGCTGCTGCTATTTTTGTCACAGAATCTACCACTATACTGGCACTCATCGCGTATACGTAATGCATGTGCATGTGCATGTGAATGTGTATGTACATGTACATGAATTGCCGTTAGCGTCGCCATCGTCGTTGTCGCCGCTGCAAAAATAAGTCGAAATTTGTAACAAAGTAGCGAAAACCTTTTCGCCCACCCAAAAGCCGAAACGAAGCGAACCGCCTGTTGTCTCGTCAGCATGGCGCCTAAAATGCTGCCAACAATAATAACAAAACCCACGAAAAGAGCGAGAAATGCAAGCAACGCACACCAAAACACACACACACACTTAAACACAATGCAAGATTATGTGGCACAAAGATGTAGATATTTTTGTATATGCTTATGTATATATACTATGCTTTTGTGAGTGTGTGTGTGTGTGTGTGTATGTATGTATGCGGTTTGAGGGCGTCGTCGTCTGCAGGAAGCAACGCCAGCAAAGGAAACAGCGCGCAACGATTTTGCAGCAATAAATTGATAGTTTTATGTGGCCTGTGCACATAAACAGGGTGGGCGGACGCGGTATATATAGTATATATATATATACATACATATATAGTACAGATAGTAGTTCGGCTAACTCTTGCCAGAACTCTGGTTCGTGCACTCCTTGAGCACTAAGTTGCTGGCTAAAGTT